TATATATATATATATATATATATATATATATATATATACATATATATATATATATATATATATATATATATATATATATATATATATATATATATATATATATATATATATATGTATATATATATATATATATATATATATATATATATATATATATATATATATATATATATACATATACATATATACATATATATACATATATATATATATATATATATATATATATATATATATATATATATATATATATATATATATATATATATGTATATATATATATATATATATATATATATATATATATATATATATATATGTATATATATATATATACACACACATATATACACACACGTACATACATACATACATATACATATATATATATATATATATATATATATATATATATATATATATATATATATATATATATATATATATACATATACATACATACATACATATATATATATATATATATATATATATATATATATATATACATATACATATATATATATATATATGTATATATACATATATGTATATATATATACATATATGTGTGTGTGTGTGTGTGTATGTGTGTGTGTGTGTGTGTGTGTGTGTGTGTGTGTGTGCGTATGTGTGCGTGTTCAAGTTTGGTATACGTATGACTTTGTGTCGCGGTTCCTGCGTGACTCGGCATTTTACGAATAACAACGCATACTTTGCTCTCTTTGCACAGCAGAAGTCATCGCATAGACTTTCGTTAATTCTGCCCACGCTCTATCTCCTTTGTAATTATCGACTCTCTTGAAATCCTATTATGTATCATTAACACCACTATATATTTATGATAATGAGTGCTATTATGAATGAAATTAATTTTGATCATTTCAGAATATAAGTACGAATTTCCTGTATGAATAAACGAACAAATGAATGAACAGATAGATAAAAAAAAAAGATAAAAAGATATTTTAATATCTTAAGAAAGGTGTTATTCTTCTTCTCACTTGTTTCGTGCTCTCCGCGTCTGTCGTCCTCGGCACCTGAAGGGAGAGACCGCTATTCGAGCCGTTTGATCGCTATAAACTGGGCAGAATACCTTCTACGACGACTCCCTCAGGAAGATTCCTCATCTGCCTGTTCTCAGCCTGCCCTGCACAGGAAGGTCACGCTCTCCGCCGCCCCCTTCGCCCTCTAAACTGCAGGCTTATCTCTCGCCGAGTTAACACACCTGTCCTCTCTCTACCTCGAAGGTGCGTCCCGAAGCTGGTCTTCGTGCCTAATGGGATAAGCAAAACTTTGGTGAAGACGGCCAATACTCTCGTCGTGTCTCAGTAAAAAAGACATTGTGTCCAGGGCAGCTCTTCGTTCCCTCTGCCTCTTATATTCCTTCCTCTCCCTCCCTTCTCTAGGCCTGGATATTGAATCCACGAGGATTTCGAAACTGTTTTTTTTTTCACTTTTCATTAGATCTAATTTGTGCATAGCGGGGGGTTTCTATCATACAAGTAAAGAAATAAGTAAGTATATAAAGAGATGACTTAATAAATGAGTAAAAGCACTTTGTTATAAAGAACACGCCACCAAAACAAAAAAACAAACAAAACAAAAAAACAATGCAGAGACAACAAGACAATGGAAAGCGACATTCATTCCCGGTGGTCACGTTCTTGTTATGCGAGTTCTGCATTTGTATAATTTATGGGGATTATGGGGATGTACGACATATATAGCTGTGTATATATATATATATGTATATATATATACATAAATATATATGTATATATATATGTGTGTGTGTGTGTGCGTATGTGTGCGTGTTCAAGTTTGGTATACGTATGACTTTGTGTCGCGGTTCCTGCGTGACTCAGCATTTTACGAATAACAACGCATACTTTGCTCTCTTTGCACAGCAGAAGTCATCGCATAGACTTTCGTTAATTCTGTCCACGCTCTATCTCCTTTGTAATTATCGACTCTCTTGAAATCCTATTATGTATCATTAACACCACTATATATTTATGATAATGAGTGCTATTATGAATGAAATCAATTTTGATCATTTCAGAATATAAGTACGAATTTCCTGTATGAATAAACGAACAAATGAATGAACAGATAGATAAAAAAAAAGATAAACAGATATTTTAATATCTTAAGAAAGGTGTTATTCTTCTTCTCACTTGTTTCGTGCTCTCCGCGTCTGTCGTCCTCGGCACCTGAAGGGAGAGACCGCTATTCGAGCCGTTTGATCGCTATAAACTGGGCAGAATACCTTCTACGACGACTCCCTCAGGAAGATTCCTCATCTGCCTGTTCTCAGCCTGCCCTGCACAGGAAGGTCACGCTCTCCGCCGCCCCCTTCGCCCTCTAAACTGCAGGCTTATCTCTCGCCGAGTTAACACACCTGTCCTCTCTCTACCTCGAAGGTGCGTCCCGAAGCTGGTCTTCGTGCCTAATGGGATAAGCAAAACTTTGGTGAAGACGGCCAATACTCTCGTCG